GGCGGGCAGCCATATAAAGGTGGGCGAGTGTGAAAATAAAAAGTAAAAAGTAGTTCTGTAATTGTATCATTTAAGAGTGTGTACCTTTACCTGATCAGAAGCCCAACTTTTCCAGGGACTATATTTAGCTTCTTTTTTTATGTGTGGCATTTCCATTGGGATATTTTTTTATGTCTTGATTCCACCTGCTGATTTAAAAAAGAAGATGGAAACTCAGTTGTTGCAGAAACTGTTGTAAGAAAAGGTGTTAATGATGAGGATAGGTGATGAGGATTTCTGCCTGTTGAGGGATATTATGAGGAAGCAAAGGTGAAGGAGTGTGTTCTCTCTATCAACATTAATTCTGCATCTATCTTTAGATAATCCATCTTCTCTCCTCTTCTCTACCCTTTCTGGGATGCATATAATTCTTAACCCTTAATCAGATTTATGTTCCTGAAACAAATCCCAGACGCTTTTCAATGTCGCCTGAGTGCCGTTTGTCATGCAGCACCACGACTCATTGTCTATCGAAAATGCAGTCTGTTATCGACCACGTACATCGATGGCAAACATTGGCAGTGTAAACTTTGATCATGGCCCGCATTAAATAAGCTTCCAACACACACACACGTGTTCACACACTGAGAGTTGATGAGGTGTTCAGTTCACGTGTGTGTGTGTGTGTGTGTGTGTGTGTGTGTGTGTGTGTGTGTGTGTGTGTGTGTGTGTGTGTGTGTGTGTGTGTGTGTGTGTGTGTGTGTGTGTGTGTGTGTGTGTGTGTGTGTGTGTGTGTGGTCTAGCATTACTATACTTGTGGGGACCTAAATCTGTTTACATAGTCACGTGTGGGGACTGGCTTCCCTTATGGGGACAAATTGGAGGTCCCCATGAGGGGAATCATTAATTTTAGGGTGAAGACTTGGTTAGGTTTAGGATTAGGGTAAGGGTAAGGTTAAGGGTAAGGGTTATGGTTAGGCATGTGTTGGTTATGGTTAAGGTTAGGATAAGTCTCCAGGAAATGCATGTAAGTCAATGTAATGTCCCCTGAAGTGATGTATCAGGCATGAAAATCACTCACCTTTCGGCGAAATTCGCCGTTTTGAATCCAAAATAGGTCGTTTGTGTGATTCATGTAGATCTGCAATAAAAATATTTTTGGGGTATGGGGGGGTCTGGGACCCGGAGTAATCTGCGGCCGCGAGCTGTTATGTGCCGTCATGACACGCATGGTGTTCTTTTTTTATATATTATAATGCAGCGCGAGCTGTGTGCTCGAGTCTTCCTGCCTGTCGGCTCTGCTGCTCCGCGATGATGGTCTAGCTTCAGCAGCCACATTACCTACGGGTGCGTTCGTTAATATTAACTGTGCGGTCCGGAGTCACTGTGGTACAGACTGGACCGCTGGTGAACAGCTGTTAGAACGGGCCGTTCAGGTGTTCAGAGCAGAGCTCCCAGTCGCAATATTATCGTTTAGCTAGCTAGCTAGCATACATTGTCACTATCTGCTAACGTTAGCTTTAGCCTTCGTTTTCTAATAGTTTTTTTTTCATAGGCTATAAACGGAGGTGGTATAAGTATAGATCTTGTACTTGAGTAAAAGTAGAAGCACTCAGATCTTGTACTAAAGTAAAAGTAGAAGTACTCAGATCTTGTACTTGATTAAAAGCAGCAATACTCAGATCTTGTACTTGAGTAAAAGTAGAAGTACTCAGATCTTGTACTTGATTAAAAGTAGAAGTACTCAGATCTTGTACTTGATTAAAAGCAGAAATACTCAGGTCTTGTACTTGAGTAAAAGTAGAAGTGCCAGAGTGTAGGAATACTCTGTTAGTAAAAGTACTGCATTCAAAATGTTCCTCAAGTAAAAGTAGAAAAGTATTCTCATCAAAATATAGTGAAAGTAGCGACAGTAAAAGTAGTCGTTGTGCAGATTGGTCCATTTCAGAATAATATATATGATATGTTTTATAATGATTGATCATGAAAGTGTTCTCAAAGCTGGTAAAGGTGCAGCTAGTTTGAATGACTTTGTATACTGCAGGGTAGCTTGTGGATTTACTCCAGGTGGAACTAAAGTCTGATTCAACACTTGATTAGATTTCACATCATTCATCCACATCTGTAAAGTAACTAAAGGTATTAATACATGTAGTGGAGTCAAAGTACACCATTTACCTCTGAACTGTAGAGGAGAAGAAGAACAAAGTAGCAAAACATTGAAATAGTTAAATAAAGTACAAGTATCTCAAAATTGTACCCAAGTAGGCTATAGTACTTGAGTTTATGAATTTATTTACTTTACACCAGATGCCATAAAGATAGAAAGACTAAGCCTTGCACAGAGGCATGACAATAGATTTTCAAAATGCTCAACAGTGCTGCCAAAATTATAAACTGACTGCTACAAAATTAAAATAAATGCTTTTATATATTTCTATTAGATGTGACTCTTTAGCGTTTCTGTTATTATTAACACTGCTGCTTTAGTTGTTTTGACTGCTAAAATCCTCTGTTATTCCTCATTTTAAAGCCGATATTCCGTGGGGTCGGGGGGCTCGGGTCCTTGTCACCTTTTCCATACCTGATGAGTTTGCATCCCTGATAATACTTAGTAAGGAGGCCATCATATTTTTTACTCATGGCTGAAGTTAAGTTTCTCCAGCTCTCCCCAGGTTGGCAAAAAAATGCATCTCAAAATGCATCAGATTGATGCTTTAAAATATGGAATATTCCAAATGTTATTCCGGGGGAGCATGCCCCTGGACCCCCCTAGAGGGATAATATCCTTCTCACCTTTTTCACCACTGACCCGTTTTCATGCCTGTGTGTGTGTGTGTGTGTGTGTGTGTGTGTGTGTGTGTGTGTGTGTGTGTGTGTGTGTGTGTGTGTGTGTGTGTGTGTGTGTGTGTGTGTGTGTGTGTTAGTGTGTGTGTGTGTGTGTGTGTGTGTGTGTGTGTGTGTGTGTGTGTGTGTGTGTGTGTGTGTGTGTGTGTCTGCATGCATCTTTATGTGTTAGGAAAGGCCTGAAGTCATTGTCCATCTTTCTCATCTATATACACTGAACAAAAATATAAACGCAACACTTTTGTTTTTGCTCCCATTTTTCATGAGATGAACTCAAAGATCTAAAACATTTTCTATATACACAAAATAACCATTTCTCTCAAATATTGTTCACAAATCTGAAAAAATCTGTAATAGTGAGCACTTCTCCTTTGCCGAGATAATCCATCCCACCTCACAGGTGTGGCATATCAAGATGCTGATTAGACAGCATGATTATTGCACAGGTGTGCCTTAGGCTGGCCCCAATAAAAGGCCACATTGAAAAATGGGAGCAAAAACAAAAGTGTTGCATTTATATTTTTGTTCAGTGTACATCTGGCTTTCCATCCCGTCATTGTGTATCCCTCCTTTTCTCTCCCCACTGAATGTATCCTTTCTTCCTTGCCTCCTCTTTCCTACCTCATCTGTCTCTCAACCTCCCTCCCTCCCTCATTTCCTCATTTCCATATTTCTCTCCCTCCTTCATCTGCCCTCCTCTCTCCCCTCCATCTTCCCTTTGTTATCAACGTTATCTATCTCCTTCATTCTCCTACTTTGCTCTTTCCCGCTGTGTGTTCTGATCTACCTACCTATACCTATCTATCTATCTATCTATCTATCTATTTATCATTCTCCCTCTCCTCGAAGATGATATAAACTTGGAACAGAACACCACCTGCTGGGGAGGAGGACAAAATGCAGTCTTTATCACACCCATTGACCATGCAACTCCCAAATTGCCTATATTATCACTTATCCTTTGTAAATCTAGCTATGCATGACTTTTTTTTAAATCTTACCAGTAGCTGAAAATTCAGCATCCAACTGAATTACAATAATTAGGGGTTGCTTGAGGTTAAAGGAATTAAATGTATAGAAAGCAAAGGCGATTAGGAAATAATTAACTATTCTGGTCAACAATACACAGATCTAAATATTGAAATGTTTAAGGACAATCTTTGGGTGGAATTCCATTGTTATTTGATAAAGCATATTTGATGTATAACATGTGGATGATATCCCATTTGGTAGATGAAAAAAACATCCTTCCTGAAAAGGAAGAAAAAAGGTGTATTTCTGTTTAATGCACATGTTTTTTTAAACGTATTCAATTGCATTTTGATGTGTTTCACAAGCTGTAACTCAAACTATGCACTGTAATTGCAGTACAGTTTTGTTTGCAGCAGCAACACAAATTGGCCTCATTTTAGTCAAATAATCATACAACCATCAGCTAAATGTGGTAAACCTAATTGAGTGCAAAGCATTGGTGTAATTATCCTTTTATCATCTCTATATCAAACACAGTGGAGTGCTTTGTCTTCACTGGTAGTGATGAAATACAGTTTCATGACAAAATGGACAAAAAAGCCTGTGAACATATTTCAAACCTGCCTTTGTTGTCTTACACTGGATGATGGGCAGAAACAATTTATGCTGGTGGTTGGGTGCGGCTTTATTTTTTCAAATAAAAGCACTACTGTAATGAGATGCTTTTACAGTCAATTTAGTTGCCTCACAGCCCTGAACAATCATGAATAGGCTCTTAATGGAAGTGAGATGACGAGGTCAGAAGCGTGAGGTTCAGCTTGTGTGAGGCTTTTAAAGATGTATGGCATTCAAGAGTGTTAGCATCACAACACAGCGCTTTGAGCTGCTTTCATTTTAACAAGATGTCTTCATGCTCATGTGCCTTATGTGCGAAAAATGTCACACCATGAAAACACACGCTTGATTAAATAGAAACTTGACATTTGATTACCTGGTTCCAACTATCTTATTCCTCTTGAGATTTCTCATGATGGTTCATTTAACTCACGTATCATTTGTGTGATGTTTGCTTTACACAGCCACAGACTATTTTCTCTCACCACACACATAGAAACACAAATATGATGCAGCCTTTAAGTGCCAGAAGCCATAACATGAATTGCAATTAATATTCTTGCTTTGTCTTTGTTCTTTCTTAACAGAAGAGCAGAGACCAGTCACCCCGGGCCCGTCGTCAGGTGCGGTTATTGGCGGTATCCTCGGCGCCCTGGCCTTCATCGGCATCATTGTTGGCATCATCTTTTTCATTCGCAAACGCCAGGAGGACGGAGAGTAAGTCTTCATTAGCAACCCTGCTACGACTTCATCAGGTTTTTTAACCTCCTGAGAAAAATGTATCTCCGCTTCCGGGACTAAAGCTCATTAAAATGTATTACATGTCATGAGGGGACCCGGCAGAAGGAGCCTGGTCACAAATCCTGACCTGAAGTTTATAGCCTGAGTCAGCCTGGAGACTTTACTCCCCAAAATCCCCCCCACACGCACACAGACACACACGCCGGCTGCAATTCCTCCCCTTGGCTGCTGCTGCATATTGGAATTTGTCAAACCTTGCCTGTTTTTTTGCCTTGTTTTATTCCCAGTTCAAGAGGTCTTTTTTTCCAAACTGAGTCTTCATGCCAGCTAACAATAAGATAACACATATGCAGTATTTTTATTCCACAGAAAGGTTAACTAGATTCATACGAATGTGGTAGACATTTTGCTGATGCTCAAATATGCAACCACTTCCACAGTAGAATAAGATGTAATTCGTTCCGCAAGCATCTAGAAATGATGACTGCAAAGTTCAAGATTAAAAGCATTCTGAATATTTAAACCATAAAGATGATTCATACAGTAAGCCACTCACATAATATATCATGAAATTACCCCTGGCCTGAAATTATAAGGAAATTACATTCCTTAAAGCCTCATATCATAATTTGTTCCCAGCTCGGGCTGTCCACGTGGCTCCCGTTGTGGCTGATGAATTCACTCTTAAGACACAGCAGTGCAAGATATTATGTATATGTACGGCATTTTTCACAAGCGCACAACTGAGTACAGAGGGGAAAGTTTTTGTGTTGGACGAGGCTGGCAAAAGATGCCAGGACAAGCATTTAACTCTTTACTGTACGTTTAAAACTTGAAATGAGAGATATAGCTAGCATGTACATTAGCTAGCTTAACATATTTTATAAATATAAACAGTAAGGCATATATTATAGGGGGACCAGACGTCCCCGTTTTCCGGGGACAGTCCCCGTTTGTATTGGCCTGTCCCCGGTTAAAACTCTCCACGGAAATGTTCCCGGTTTTTAATATACGTTAAAAACACATAGCAAGGTGAAATAAAAACGTTTCATGTCAGGAAACACTGGGTAAACACTACAGACTGTGGTCAAGCCAGCCCCCACTTCGGGAAAACCAGTCAAGCCAGCCCGCACATTGTATTCCGGTGCGCGAATATCCTATGCATTACGGTAGAGGCCTGTAAAAACTGCCTTCAAAATAAAAGCGTTTACTCGGTCAATAACAAATATACCTAAAAAACACACCAAACATATTCATATATACTGGATCTTAAATTAAGAAATATGTACAATATAATGTGATCAATAATACTTTAAAACAAACTACGTATAACTACCACATTATAACTGAGTGAATGTAAAATGTAAGGATACAGTTATGAAGACATATCTGACATTTCCACTGGTTGACTAATTTCAATTGATGTTGACACCATCTCACAACACTCCTAAAATAACATTATTTTCTGAAGCACAATTTAAAATGTGTGCTGTTTAAAATCTCAAATTAGATCTATTGTCCATCGATATTTTGATTATTATTTAATGGAAACTGTCCATAATCAAAGAGTCAGTCGAAGTCAATCAAATACTTATTTCACTTCAGGGTGATAGCAGGACACCCCATCTAGTCACTCAGAGAGAATCAGGACATTCTGATGTAGAGTTTCAAAATAAAAGACCTTTGTAGTCTCATATATGAGCTATCATCCCTCTAATTGTATATAAAAATAAAACAAAAACTATCCAGTATCAAAGACTTATTTCACTTCAGGGTGATAGCAGGACACCCCATCTAGTCACTCAGAGAGAATCAGGACATTCTGATGTAGAGTTTCAAAATAAAAGACCTTTGTAGTCTCATATATGAGCTATCATCCCTCTATTTTTAGATAAGAATAAAACAAAAACTATCCAGTATCAAAGACTTATTTCACTTCAGGGTGATAGCAGGACACCCCATCTAATCACGCAGAGAGAATCTGGATGATGTACAGTTTCAAAATAAAAGACCACTGCAGTCTCATATATGAGCTATTGTCCTTCTGTTTGTATCCAACAGTTAAAATGTTTGAATTACATTGAACCAGAATTGTCCCCCTTTATTCTTTAACAGTGAAGAAAATTGGATATGTTAATGAGATTTTGACCGCAAAACTCAAAATGTCCCCGGTTTTAATTTTGAAAATCTGGTCACCTTAATATATTATTGTCCTTAAACATCTATCACCTGCTAAAATAGTTGGTACCACTTAACAATAAGACTACCCTTATAAATAGTTTGTAATTCATTTATTAATTAGGTTGTGAACACTTTATAAATCATTAATAAGCTTTTATAATACATGAGATAAACAGGGTGACTGTGACCGGTTGCTTGCCAAATAGTGAGCCCACATTTATCTGTACTGCTAATTCTTATATTGGCTACTTAGCTTACTGCATCTTCTTCATCAGCCAGCATCTTTGGTATCTGTTGTTCACTGAGTTGATTCTCGCTAAGTAGACAATATAAGGCTTAGTCATCTTGCCAAATAGTGAGCCTGTGTTGATGTATGAAAACTATGTTAGAACTGGTTTATAAATGGTTCTTAATGATTAATAAAGTGTTTACAACCTAATTCATAACCTAATTATAAACGCTTTATGAATCCTTTATAAGGGTAGTCTTATTGTAAAGTGGTACCAAATTGTTTTAATGGGATGAATTCATAATTCTCTCGACTTTAGAATAGCCAAATTACAAGGGTATTTTCTGTCAACTCTAGAGCTTTTAGCCTATGTTACAGTAGCTTGTTTTATGCTACTGTTTGCTATCTTGCCTCGGATTCACCACATGCAGCACCTAAAGCGCCACACATAGTATATTAGTCAACTGGAGACTAAAGTCTAAAAAGGACCATGCATTAAAAAAAAGATTATTCTTAAAAGAGAAGAGATGATTGATGCTAGATTTAGCTTTTAGCTCATTTCCATACTGAGTCCCTGGGCAGCTACACGTGTAACTTTTAAAAGACAGTCAAAAACATTACATAAACTCTATCATACAAACAATTATAAGTAAAAGGCAGAATGAAGCATGGCTCAATAGGCGCTTTCACACCGGAGTACTTTTCCCCGTACTTTTCCCTTTTAGTTCCGATAGTTCCTGGGATTTTGCGTTCACACCAAAAAGAGAACTTTCCCCCCCTTTGCAGTCCCTGCTAGAGAGCAGGTAATTTCCTGGGGAGAAAAAAGTTCCAATTTCTGATTGGCTGGGAGAATTGTAAACCACGGCCCGTAAAACTCTGAAAAGTGTTGTGAAGCCGCCATTTTATTTGCTGGCATTAGCATTATTAGCATTAGCATTAGCCCAGCGCACAAACGGAGAGAGACTAACTTATGGCAACACAAAAAAAAACATGTGAGCGGTGGAGTGATGAGGAGGTAGGCTCCCCTCCCATGAAAAGCATATGCCCTCTCTGTAGATCTGTTCTGGCGCCGGGTCTGTAAGTACGGAAAAGTACAAAGAAAGCGGCTAATATATAAATACAAGCCCATTTATCATAAAATTACAATACATTTTGATAATAACAGTCAAATAAATGTTGACAATACTCTGCATTTATATCTTTAAATAGCTCTTTACCTGAGTTCAGTGCAGGGCCGGTTTTTGGCATAGGCAACATAGGCGGTCGCTAGGGTGCCAGATCTGGGGGGGGGGGGGGGGAAACATTTTTGACTGTTGGTGCTCATCCTAATTTTCGGCCTTGATATAACAACATTCATACTTAAGTCAAGGTAACACCCTTTTCACCCCGGTCACACTTTTCATTTGCCCTGTACGATGGGCGCTGTAAGTGATGAAAGTGGGGGATGTTGGCTTATCTGGCACTCGCAGCTCACAGCCAAAGTGCGAGTGAGCGCGGGAGCGAGGTACCGGCGCTGTTGTTATTAGCATCTGGTGCTAGCTGCGCTAACGGATATAAGAAGATGTTTCTACAACAAAGGTGGAGGGGAGCTCTCTCCTGGCAGACTGAGAGGCTGATAACTACAGCTCAGTGAGGTAAAGGACTCTCTCAGTGTTTAGATAGCTAACTTTAGTCTAAGTTATCTCAGTGGGTCTCAAACGTTTTGATCACAATTTATGTAAACATATATTTCCAAGGCACTCCTTTATAATTATTGGAATAAACAGGTTTGAAATCATTTCAATGTATACTATAGGACAGTAAACCAAAAAAAATTGTTTAAAACTGGAGAGATAAAAAAAAATGCAAAATTACAAAAAAAAATGTTAATAAGATATGAATGAACAACAAAAATAAAATAAGTTACATTTATTTGTTATTGGCTATGTTCAAATACTTATTTGATTATTAAAATATAAACCGATCTTTTCATATGGGTGTTTACATTTGTACCCCCAGATCAGGTCTCTAGTAATTGTGTGCTCAAAGTGCACCAGATTGAAGCATTTGACTTTAAAATGTTCAAACTTTTTTTTCGGGGGGGCATACCCCCGGACCCCCCTAGAGGAGATGATGTCCATCCCCCAAGTCAAACATGTCCATATAATACTGAATAAATTTAAAGCCTTTTTGGTGTATATTACCTATGTCAATAAGTTTCTGTTTTTGTAGTGTATTTATCTTTTGTAGAGATTTTTCATGTATTCTTTATATATTCTATAGCAGGGGTATTCAACTAAAATTCAACGAGGTCCAGTTAGAGAAAATATCCCCATGCAAAGGTCTGGAACATCAAAATGTCTAACTTGCTTTATGAATTAGTGTGATTGATATATATTGAAGTAGCCTCTAGCTTTATCAACGTCTGCATGTAATCAACAACTGACTGCTAATCAAATAAAGAAAGTACAATTCAAAAACAACAATATGTATTGTCAATTGACATTGAACTATACAGATACAGTATACAGTAAATACTGTGGATATGTGTAAGGTTTCACATCATAACTTAACAGTTTCAGACGAT